GGCCCCACCCTGTCCCTCTTGCGAAAGGGCCCCGACAGGCTCAGGCTGGTTCTCCTCCTTCCGTCACCGGGAGGGCAGGGCCCCGGATGAAACTGCCCTGGCCACATGCAGGGATGGCCTCACGTGACAGCAGCAGCACAACACACAATCACAAGAGGCAGCTCCCTGGACTGGCCATAAAAGACCAAGATCTGGGCTGCTCCCAGAGGCTCCTCAGTCAACACCCACCCCGTCTGCCAGCTGCTTCTCCCAAGAACTTGAGCATCATGAATCTTGGGGGACTTTCGCCTCCGGAACCAGCCACCCCCGAAATTCAAGGCTTTGCTAACCAGGTAGGTCATCCCCCCAACCCCTCCGAAGGACCCTCACCCAGCTCCCTTCCCTGCTGTGCCAAGAGATGCCCCTTTCCTGACCTCCCCAAGGAGCCCCCAAAGCATGCGCCCCTCAAGTCCAAGGAGCCCCCAAAGCATGCGCCCCTCAGGCCCCCGTCATCTGCCCAGGCCGGCGAGGAGCCGTGAGGCGGCAAGGGCCCCCCTGGCATCTCCCAGAGGTGCCCTCTTGCGGCCTCATTGCCTTGGCCGTGTCGCTTCTGCCACCAGGTGAAACCCAAGCTGGAGGAGGCGACGAACCAGACGTTTGCCAAATACGAGGCCATTTTGTACCGTCAGCAGGTGGTGGCTGGGATGAACTACTTTGTCAAGGTCAGTGGCTGAACCCCTGGATTCCCCCCCCCAGCCCCTGCTTAGTTTTAATTTCTGCTCCTCTTCCCTAAATTCTGAGGCAGGACCCATTCTGCCACCCCGCCCCACTGGGTCACTCGGAGGTTCAGTGCCACCTCAGCCACTCAGACAGCCGCAGCCGTGGGCTCTTCCGGACTGTCCTGGAGGGCCTCCTGGACCTGCCGGAGGGGGAGACCTTCCTCCAGGCCATCCTCTCCTCCCAGCAGCCCCCCCCTCATTTGCAAAAGCCTCTGGCTTGGAAGGAACACCTGAAGAGGTGCAAGGAGGAGGAGGAGGAGGAGGAGGAGGAGGAGGAGGGTCTTCTGGTTTGGGTTTTAGCCAAACAGGCAAGTGTGAGCCCCCTGACCCAACTCTACCAGCCGGGCTAGGAAAGGCCTTTTCTGGACCTCGGGCGCCAGTGAGATCTTCAGCCAGCATTAAAAAGAATGGGAGGGGTCTTCCCCCTTAGGGGGCATCTGGCTGACCTCTGGCTGCTCAATAGGAGCCAGAATTCGCTTTTGAACTCTCACAAGAAGTAGCCGTAGACGCCCCGTTGGGGATGTGGCTGCTGGACCCCGATGCCTGATGCCCAGGTCCCTCTGCTCCCCCCTCACAGATGCAATGCGGCGACAAAGAGAAAGACTACATCCACCTGAGGATCTTCGAGGCCCTGCTAGTCAATGGCGGACAGGTTGAGCTCTCCAGCTTCCAGGTGGACAAGACCAAGGATGACCCCATCACCTACTTCTAGACGCAGCCTAGAAGTCTCTTCTCCCAGCCGTGTAAGCTTCCGGGCATAATAAATGCATCTCTCCTAAAATGTCCTTGGATTTTTGACACAAACTCAGCTGGCCGGTATTTACAGTTAGTCCTCAAGTTACAGCAGTTCATTAGTGATCATCTGAAGTTACAACAGCACTGAAAAAAGTGACTCACGACCGGTTTCCACACTCGCGGCCGTTGCAGCCTCCCCAGGGTCACGTGAACAAAATTTGGATGCTTAACAACTGACTCGTATTTATGACGGTCGCAGCGTCCTGGGGGAAGGGGGAGTATCACGTGACCCCCTTTTGAGACCTTCCGACAAGCAAAGCCAATGGGGGGAGCCAGATTCACTTACCGACCGTGTTGCTAACTTAACAACCGCAGTGATTCACTTAACGTCCGTGGCAGGAAAGGTCGTCAAAAGGGGCAACATTCGCTTAACAACTGTCTCAATGACAGAAATTTTGGGCTCAGTTGTGGTCGTAAGTCGAGGAGTGCCTGTTCTTAGAAACTCTCTCCAACCACTGCAAAAACACTGGGGGGGGGAAGGCTGGGGGGGCAGGTCAGTGACCCAGAGACCACTGAGGACCCTCCTCCTCCCGGCCCTTCTCTGAAGCGGGAGCTCCGGAGACCCACCTCAGGGGCGGAAGAGGGCAGACAGCCCCTTCTCTGCCCAGGGAAGCCCCCGCGGAGCCCGAGGGCCCAGGCCAGGCCACCCTGAAGGGTTAAGCCGGCTCTATCCAGGTTTCCAAAGCTGAATTTGGCTTGCAGACATGTTCACCTCACTCTGTCACGGGACCAGGCGGATGCAGGCAGAAAATGGAACTTAGATACGGGAAAGAGGGAAATTGTGGTTTGCAAGTCACGTTCAGGAACAATGAATCCTC